TCAGGTGCACAGTTCTACAAAGCATCATGTGTACTCTGTACTGTTCACCACCCTAAGCTAAATCTCCATCCATCACCATTTATCCCCCTTATGATTTTTTTAATCAAGTGCATTTTTATTTTATTTTAAATGTGGTGGTAGGTGAAATACAGTTTGAACTATAGAGCATCTTTAATCTCTGAAGTTGAAATTTTACAGCAAAGGAAATTGCATGGTGAATCTCACAAAGGGACCATTAATACCCCCGTCCCACCCTGAAGTTTCAGCCCTTCTTGTTGCAAACATAGAACCCATACCACAAAGTGGATTAAGGGTCTGAGGAGGTAACATTCTCCCCTCCTACCCCCCCCATGTTGTTCTGGTGTCTGTTTTGTTTCCCCTCACTGTACTTAACACTATAGTTGAATGACATATGGGGTCTGCCTTCGAGGAGCAGTTAAGAGTGGGAAAGAACAGAAAAATGAGCAAAAGATTCTATTAGACGAATAAAATGCCACGAGCAACATAGAGGAAGGATCTACCTGGGGGAAGTCTGTGATGACCTAGGTACGTCCTTAATTACTGTTTGGTATATACAGGCACCCTCCCCCAACACCTCCACAATTCCTCTTTCAACTTCCTGCAGTCTACTTCCACTCAGTCCCACACTTCACTAAAACCGTCCATATGTCCACAGCCAGTTACCTGGTGAAGGTCCCTTTTTGCACTTTACATTGTTTAATCATCTTTCTGAAATTTTATTTCACGTAGGTAACAGTGTTGTGTCTTTCTGCTGCTTGTTCTTCCAGTAACTTCTGTTGGGCAAGAAGCTTCATGCCAAGAAGCCCATTCATTCACTTTTTTTTGCCCAAATGGATGAACCCCTTCTGCTGGCTGCACAAATCCATTGGTCTGATGGAGCAGAATAGAGGGTCCAGAAATAGACCCACATGTATATGGACAGCTGATTTTTGTCAAAGGTACAAAAGCTGAACAAGTGGTGCTGGAATAATTGGACATCCAGATGCAAAAATTAAAAATTGATCCATATATCAACATGTGCAAAAATTAACTCAATATGGATTATAATCAAGTATAAAACTCCACACTGTATAACTTCTAGAAGGAGAAAAAGGAAAATGTTCAGCCTTGGGTTAATCACAGATTTAGATAGAACTGCAAAAGCAGTCCATAGAAGAACAATTTGATAATTGGATTTGATCCAAATTGAAAATAAAGAAAATACCTGCTCTTTGAAGTACACTGCTTAGAGAACAAAGACAAGCCATGGAGTGGCAGGAGATATTTGCCAAACATTTCTGAAAAAGGACATGCATTCAGGATAAAGAAGTCTCAAAATGCTATAGTAAGAAAACCTATTTGTCGATTTTAAAAATGGGTAAAATATTCAGAAAGACTAAGGATGGTATACAGATGGTAAAGAAGCACATGCAAAGCTGTTCATTAGTCATCAGGAAAATGCATATTCAAACCTCAATATGATACCACATCTATTAAGAAGGCGAAAACTGAAAATATTGATAATACCATGGGTTGATGAGGTTGTAGAGGAACTGGGGCCCCACCCATACTCTGCTGGAGGGAACATAAAATGGTACAACTACTTCGGAAAATAGTTGAACATTTCTTAAAAGTTAAAATATGTACTTACCACTCCTTAGTAATTTACCAAGAAAAGAAAGTGTAAGTCCATATGAAGACTTGTACATGAGTGTTCATAGTACCTTTATTTGTAATAGCCCAAAGATGGAAACTTTGTGCCCATCAACAGGTGAATGAATAAGTGATTATCAATACAATGAAAAGCAATTGATATACGCAACATGTACAAAGCTCCAAATATGCTGGGTGAAAGTAGACCAAAAATGTACTGTATGCCTTCATTTATATAAAATTATAGAAAATGCAAAGTAACCTCCAGTAGTCTATAGAATAAAGATCAGTTTGGGTGTCGAGAAGGAACTTGGATTTCAAAGGGGCATGAAGAAATGGGGGTGATGAACGTGTTCACTCTCTTAATGGGGTTCTGGTATGACATGTCCACATAAGTCAAAACTTACCAAATTGTACTCTTCAAATTTGTACAATTTATTGCATGATAAATGCACTTCGATTTCAAAAAATAATACTATGTTCATATTGGCTCTGTTGGACCCTTTCGTACCTTTTTTTCTCAAAGTGCCACTTTCCTATTTTCTCATTTTTGGCTGATGACTTTTATTCCTATTTCACTGAGAAGATAGAATCAGTCAGAACAGAACTTTTCACAAGTTCACACCCTCTCTGACCCATCACACTCTGTGTTTACGGCTTCAGCCTCTTTCTCTAAAACAGGTTAAACCTCCGGGTCCTTTGCACTTGTTTGCTGTGCCTTCATATTGTTTATCCAGGCTCTCCCCAACCTCATTTATTTACTAAAGTGTCATTCTTAGGCTTATCTAAAGTTGCAGCTACTGGGGCATTCCTGTTTCCTGCTGTATTTTTCTCATATTTATTAATGTACTATAGGATTTACCTATTTTGTTGATATTTTCATATTTTCCCTCACATGGATGTAAGCTCCAGAGGTTAAAAAACAGCTATTTGGGAATTACTCCTGTATTCCAAAACAGCCCTTGTGACATTCAATATTGTTTAAGTAGAGCAGAATCAAAATTATATATGGTTAAAATGAAACCTGAAAGCCCTGTGCCCTTCTCCAGAGAGAACCAGTCAGTGGTTTAGCATACGCTTCCAGTCCATGGCCTGCATATAAACATACATCCACAGACCCCTTTATCACAGTGCAGGTGACGTGATCCACAGACGCTCCGCAGGGTGCTTGCTTTGTATTTCTGAAACACCTTTTTTATGTCGGCACATAAGTAGCCACCCCATTTTAAAATTTTGTATTCTGTGGATGAGACTATGATTTAACTTTTCTGAAAGAACCCACTTTGTTGTATGCTGTAGTAACCATTTTTGTCCATATTACTTTATATATTCAGGCTAGAACTTCTGTAGGACAAATTCCTTAAAGTAAGATTGCTAAACCATCGAAAAAATTTAAAGTGCCAAATTAACACTCCTCTCTCATCAGTGTGAGATTCCTTGTTTTCCCATATCGTCGTCATCAGTGACTAGTTTCAGTTTTTGCTGATGCTGTTCATTTGAAACCGTGTGTGGAGGAGTCACGGCTGGGGCTTGAAGCCTTTGGGGGGAAGGAGGGCTTGTCACTGGCGGCCCCTGAACGCGGCTCGCTCAGGTTTTCCACCTTCCTGTCCAGGGGAGATGGTCTCGGGGCCTCTTGCGGTCAGTGTGGGTGTCGGGGGCAGCTGGGCTGCCAGCCAGGATGCCCCCCACCCAGCCTGCTGCCCGGTCCGCGCCCCCAGGAGGGAACAGTTCCTTCTCGCCTCCACCCGGAGCTGCTGCATCCGAAGGAGGCTTATTTTCTCCTGCGCCCAACCAGCCGGGCTCAGCGCCCGCCTTAGTTAGGAAACAAGTTAGAGTCTTTTGGCTGGAAATCCCCCGCTGTCTAAACTCTGAGCTTTTAAACGGAGATCTGAAGAATCAGTTCTCAAGGGGAAACGGTAGGATGAGCGAGGCGGCTGAGGGAGGCAGGGGCCAGATTCCTTCGGGGGCTCGTGCTGGAGGACGGGTCGGCCCGGCGATTTTAACCGTTTCCAACGTGGGCGGACCCGCCACCCCCTCCCTAAGGCCCTGAGCTTCACGTAGCTGGAGCAGGGAAAAGGGGGGCGGCCACTGTGAATTCGCCGTTCACAGTCGGCAGTGGAAAAGCGATCAAAAGGCCCCTTCTCTTTTTATTAAAATATTGCTTTATTTTTTATTTTTATTAGGGTGACATTGGTTAATACCATTACATAGGTTGCAGGTGTGGGTTTCCATGTTACAAGATCCGCATATTGCACTGTGTGCCCACCACCCAAAATCAAATCTAAAAGGCCCTTTTCTACGCCAAACGGTCAGCTCGTGCAGCTCTAAACTATCAACGGTAAAGTTAGGGGGGTGGGGGAGACCGAGTCAGACTGCGCAGGCGCATTGCCTCCCGAACGCGCACGGGCGACGGCCCGCCCTCGGCCCGCGGCGTGTG